AAAGACTGAAAGCATGAAATCACGTAAGGCACATTATAAGCTATAATGAAGCAGTAAAACAGGTAACAACAGTGATTCAGTAAAAATATGTAAAATCATATAAGTTCAGTTTAAACTACAAAAAATGCCTAGTCAACAATTAAGCAGGTAAATGACAAACAAATAAGGCAGATAAGCAGCACATAAAGGATTGCCCCTCGGGCACAATGTTAACAATACCAGCCCCTTGGGCTATATCTCACATCAAAATGGGTACCCGCGCTCACTGGGGGTGTGCAGACTCCTGGAGGGGCCTCTTTCGACCCAAGCGCAATATCAAGACATCTCGTGGCATCATCACTAGCCCTCGGCCTCATATCAACAAGCCACCTCGTGGCATACATTTTTAAGAATTGATGGATGTTTGATTTTGTGATACCGGGTCCGTATTTTGGTTCCGAAACCCGGTATAGGTCCATTACTATATTTATGACTTGTCTATCAAATTTGATGAGAATGGAGTTGGCTTGACGTGATTTAGACATTCGGTTGTTAAAATAGAAGTTTCAAAATTTTCTTGAAAATTTCATTTGATTTGGTGTCCAATTCGAAGTTCTAGGCGTTATTTTGGTGTTTTGATCGTGTGAGGGAGTTCGTATGAGATTTTTGGACTTGTGTGCATAATTAGCTTGGAGCCCCAATGGCTGGGGTGAATTTCGGATAGGCTACGGATGGTTTTAGACTTAGAAAATCTAGTTTTTCCTCAGCTTCAAATGTCATCTAGTTTCCTTCTTCGCGATCGCGAAGGTACTCGCGCGATAGCAAAGAGTGAACTGGGATGGGTGGGTTTTTCTTCTACGAGAACGCGAGACCTTGGTCTCGAATGCAGAGCACTGGGGGCCTGCTTGCGAACGCGACCTGTCACACACGAATGCGTAGTTTAATGAGGTGGGAGTAGGGAATCTAGGGTGACTCTATGCGAGCGCGAGTCCAGCCTCATGAATGCGTGGAGTCTCCCGCAATCGCGTAAGCCATTGAGGTTGTGCTCTTCGCGAACGTGTCAGGGTTCACGCGAACGCGATGAACACCTGACGCCAATGATTAAAATAGTCTCAAAGACGGGATTTTGCCAATTCTTTCAAAATTTCAAAACTAGAAAACCCTAGAGGCGATTTTTCCAAAAGTTTTTCTTCCCAAATTTATTAGTAATTGATTCTAACCTACTTCTTTTTAATTACCCATTACATTTCATAAGATTTTTACCTAAAATCTAGGATTTTCATGGTAGAAATTGGGGATTTGGGTAGAATTAGGGATTTTTGTAAAATTAGAATTTAAACCTCAAATTGAGGTCGGATTTCGAAACAAATTACATAACCGGGCTCGGGGTGAATGGATAATCGGATTTTGGTCCGAATTTCGGATTTTGACCAAGCAGACTCGGGGTCAATTTTTGACTTTTTGGAGGAAAGTTTGGAAATTCTAAATTTATGCATTGTAATTGATTCCTTTAGCAATATTTAATATTATTGAGTCAATTGTGATTAGATACGAGCTGTTTGGAGGTAGATTCTAGGGAAAAGGCCCCGATAGAGCTCTGAATTGACTGCGGAGTGAGGTAAGTGTTGAATTTAACCTTGGCTCGAGGGAATTAGGGACCCTCGGATTATGTGCTATGTGAATTTTATGTGTTACGGCGTATATGCGAGGTGACGAGTGCTTATACGCCACCAAATTACCTGTTTTTCCCTGATTTTTCCGCTTTCCTTAATTATCTCCTTCCCTGTCTTAAATGGTATATGCTTTAAATGCCTTCCATGCTTAGTTGCTACCTTTGAATCAATGTTTTCTCCTGTTAATGATGTTAGATCTTTTCATAGTTTTCATGATTCCATTCTATTTGCTTTAATTGACTTACTTGCACCTTCTAATTGTCAATTATCGGACCGTCTTGTTGTGTAGTATTACTTATGTGAATTCTCATGTTGTACACGGTTTCCTTGATGGTTTAGTGTTGTATTCATTGATCGTATAGGTTCTTGTGATTTGAATTATTGATTTGATTGTGCTCATTAAATATTTGGTACTGATATGGTGGGATCGGGTTGCACGCCGCAACAGGTGAAATAAGGGTGGATTGATATGGTAGAATAAGGGTGAATTTGTACAAATACAGTGGGATCGGGTTGCACGCCGCAACAGGTGAAATACGGGTGGATTGATACGGTGAAATAAGGGTCAATTATGATACTGATATTATTATTTGATGGGATTGGGTTGTGCGCCGCTATATATATATATATATATTTATTTATTTATTTGTGTTGGTTTTTGGTATTTTCATTTGAAACTCTAAGGATTGGTAATTCTGAACGACACTGGCTTATTTCTTGAGGCTGTAGTTATTATTTTTAGTTGACTGTCTTATTTTGTTCTGTATTTCCTTTTCTGCCTTATTATATACCGTGTACAGGTTGTAGTATGAGTGACCTACCTTAGTCTCGTCACTACTTCGTCGAGGTTAGGCTCGGCACTTACAGAGTACGTGGGGTCGATTGTACTCACTACACTCTACACTTCTTGTGCAGATTTTGGAGTCGGTCCCAGCGACAGATATTAGCGTGCTCTGATTGGACAACTTGTGGAGACTTGATGTACAGCTGCTCAGCGCCCGCAGCTCCTGGAGTCCCCTTCCCTGTTTTTTTATTATGTAGCTCTACCTTCCTTTCACACAGCTTTATGTTATTTCAGACCCTTATTTGTACTATTCTAGTAGCCCGTGCACTTGTGACACTGGGTCCAGGGTTGTATCATACATTTGGATGTTTTAACTTCCGCATTTTTATTTTGGATTATTGCAGTCATTTCAGTTCTTTCTCATTAATTAATTTTAAACTGTTAAAAATGGATAAAAATGTTCTAATGGCTTGCCTAGCAAGTGAAATGTTAGGCGCCATCACGGTCCCAACGGTGGGAATTCTGCGTCGTTACACATACCCAACATTTTTCTCCTCGAACTAAGTTTCATGTGACCCATTACCACGTTCTACCTGTCAGTGTCTAACCTCGTAAGGGGAAGTAAACCGAGCCCCACGCCATCCACTTTGCTATCACCATACTCGTTCCGCCGAACCTGGGCTCTGATACCAGTTGTTGGGGTTAACCGGCCCAAAGATACTCTTAACATGGTGTGATACTGTCCGCTTAATTTGGGCCGAGCCTGCACGATTTTTTCCTAAAAAGTCTCATAGCATTAAGAGATTCATACACTTTATATGTAAGTTTTCAGTCTTTTCAATTACCAATGTAAAACTTTATTCGCACAATCAACAATCTCTCCCTCGAACTAAGTTCTACATGGCCATTATCACGATCTACATATCAATTTTCAAGACTCAATATATGGCCCGGCACACCCAACAAACATTAATTAGCAGATATTTAAAATCTATGGTTCTTCCATTAGCACCAAAGAGATAATAAATATGTGGCATTTAGTATCACAAATGAATGATGACACACAGAGCAGCATGCTGCATGTGTTTAATTAATTTTCTTTTTAATCTCTAGTAATGGAGCAGTTTCGAATAGCCGCCTACTAAAGAGTATATTTTTCGACTATTCTAGTTAATTAAAGTAGTTATATACTACAATTAATCACAAAGTTTTTTCTGTTTAAGAGGCTTTGGCGGAAGAATATCATACTTGTCCAAATTTCAAGATACCCTTCAAGATTGCAATGGGTCATTTTCCCCTCGCTAATAAAAGTATACACTCTGGACTTATAGAGATATATTCTCATCAAAAGCAACAAAATATTAGCAAAGATCGATAGCTGAAAAGGAGGAAAAACGAAAACGCTATTAACCTTCCCTATCATTTGAATCTAAGTGCATATTTAGGAGACAGCCGCCTACCCTAAGCAAGTAAAATAGGTACATTTTGTGTCAAAAAATAAATGCAAACAAAGTGTTTCGCAGAACTAGTTTTTTTGAAGAAAATTGGGCACTAAGGTAAACACAATAGCATTTGTCATTTATATCAATTAATTACTATGTGCACAATTCTTTCATCTTTTAGCCCAGTAGCATATATTGGAACAAGTAGAGTTGTAGGTACAGCAAGAGTAAATACCAAGTACCGGTCTAAGAACGAATGCCTGCTTGGAATGTGAATACTATATATGCCTATCCCAAACAAGTAGGGTTCGGCAGGCTGTACTAATTCCTAACGTTAATCATCATTTAATTTGGATCCATTTCATTCTAATCCTCAATAATTATCTTTTAAGATCAATTAGCTGCTATACATACGAAAGGAAAGAAGATACTTTCAATTACGTGTACTTTTGTATTGTCAGTGTGAGAAATACATATCAGAAAACAGAGGGGGGAATAACATGAAAGATACTTCTAATAAGTCATGTCCAAGAAATTGCACCAATGTCATGAACGAAGAAAGTGACTTCATCTATTTTTATATTCATTATGTCTTGTACACCATAATTTAGCAGATATTCAATACCAAAGTTTGTGGTTCTTAATTCCATTAAGAGATTTATATGTGGCATTTTGTTTCATTCTTCTAGTCCAAATGAGAACATTTATTTACACATAATTGATAGTATAAATACCCACACCAAACACAGAATTGTACAAAACTTGGACCTTAACCTCTCAGCCTCAAGACTTCAACTTAGACCGTGACTAGTCAAACTCAATTAGTTCAAATAAAATGCATTCACGCAAGCACGATAATAATCAATCACCAGTACAAATAAAATCACATAAAGGATGTACTAGTAGTTTACAATAGGTCAAAGGGGAACAAATTAAGTAAGATCATCTTCCTCGAGCTCCTTAGCCTTCAATGTTTCCTTCACTCTTAGAAGAAGTGTTGTCCTCCAAGCATCCTGTGGAGTGAAGATATTTAAGTAGACTAGAAAATCGCTGTAAACTTACAACATACTAATACGTGCTCAAGTCAATTAAGCATCCAAGTATGAATCCACGAAGCAGTGATAACAAAAAGAATTAAACCAACTTATAGATAACTTCAAGATTGAGTGTTTTTTAGAAAACCAGATAAGCAAATGAATTCTATTGTTTTATCGAGTCAGCAGCCTCAGGCACCATTACTATGTGTAGCACTTGCATAGCCACTGCACATGTCAAATTCTGCTTTCAAATACAAATGCCAATGCATTAAGTCAAGCTTGAAGGTCAGTAAAGCTACTTCTGTACTCCGATGCATCTACTGCCCATAAATAATAAAACCTGCACCGTCTTCTCATACAAGTTTCTCCTGACAATCATACCCTATACCCTCCTTAAAATCAATATTTTTTTATAAAAATAAAAAATAAAAAATCAGGGTTCAGTGCACCGTCTCTAGTCCTCAATTGCATCCACTTCCGTATACCATAACTTGCAAAGAATCTAGGTCTCCTTCAGATAAACATGCCTTTTGATATACTCCAACAGAGAGAATACTGGTGGTCAAACCAAAGAAGAGTTATTTGCTGGTATAAAACGCTGCTAACTATCCAAAGCTAGGAAATATATCTAGATATTTGCCATAAAACCAAAAATATAGCAGTTAAACATGAGTGGTTATGCTACAGTTACGTAAAACACAAAAAAATTAAATTAAGCACCCTAGAGAGAGAATGACAAGAATATTCAACCTTTAGCACCAGATCAAAAAAACCTAAGGTCAGATACTGCTTCACAAGAGTAGGTGAAGATGCTGCTACTAGCTTACGGCACTGAATGACAGCTATAGTAGTTTGTGTCACTAAAACACATGATTTTTCTTTTAATTGGTACAAAAGTGCCAAGAGTTCAAGATTACCAGTTGTGTCATGCTATCATACTCTTTCACAGCATCAGTGAACTTTGCAACATCTTCCTCATCAATTGCAGCTGCCAAATCCTGTTATTGGAAAAAATACTCCCAAATTAGCTCTTTACTGTCATATTCAAAAATTACATGTACAATAACTGCGAAGCAACAAGTATAAGCACTTGGGTGAAATCTTATATTGTTTTTGGCCCTTGCGTGACTGTACCTCAACATGATCATTTGCAATACTAGGAGGTAATTAGCAATAAATGCATTGGATCATGTGAAATATGATAGCAGTTTGTAGATTTGATATGATATAAACCATTTTCACAAAGACCAGAGCCAACAATTATATAAAAGTGAAGGGTCAGGAAGCAGGAGAGAAAATAACATGCATAGGCTGGAATATGCAAGCTATGACATACCACTAGCAATTTGCATTCGCGCGTCCCTGAAAATGTTGGATCCAGCTCCTGCAGATAAAGATGCAATATTTACTAACTGAAAGCATGTCTGTGGATAGAAATCTTCGCGGCTGAAAAAGAAACCTGATATCGCTCCAATGCATTGTTGATTGCAACAACATCACCTTTACAAAGTTGGCAAATGCCAGCATTAAGAAGATGCCCTCTAACTCCATACTTCAACAAGTTGTTATTGACTGAGTGACGTGCAATCTCCTCAAAGATCTCGATTGCTCTCGGATATCTGAGAAAATAATGTTGAATTTGTATGAGAACAAACCAATTCTTATAATACATTGAACAATGAGAAGCTAAAACAACAGCTTACAACAGCTTATAACTTTATTAACACCGTGAAATATGGGACTCATCAAATGCCATTTACTAACAGTTACACTCATAATTCGGAAGTGATAACCTTCTCCTAACTACTGATATTGACACCTTTTCTATCTTTCCTGTTTGTTTCATCCATAATAAGAGATTGATTTCACCATCACTCCAAGAAGACCAGATAAACCTCAAAGATTTGACAGAGAACTATGCAATATCTTCCAGTGCTGAGCAATCGTTCTCTCACGACATGATCAGCGTTGCTTTTTTTTCTTCTGAAAATTATATCACTTCCTAACTACAATGAATCTTACTTTTCTATTTGAGCAGAGAATTGTGCAACTTTCTGCTTGCACTGATTTGCAGTTGTTGTCACATCTTCACTCTGGTAAAGATCAGCTGCCTTCTCGTAGTAACTGATGGCCTGCTCCAAGTTTTGCTCTTGCTCATATAATTCAGCAATTTCCTGCACACCGAGCAAGTTACATCTCTTTCAAACAGTGAAACCAAGCTTCCTAAGGATACTTCAACTAAAGTATCGCATTTGCTACAATCATTTTGTAGTGAGGGTCACATACAACATTAATAAGAAAGTGACAGACACATGACCAGTCACCTATCACCTTTCTTGGTAATATAAGAAGTTCAACAGGTTAAGACAAACTAAGCATTGAGCTGACAAGAACATATATTTAGAGCATGTGCTCGCATGAAGAGTCTGATTGAACACAAGAGAACAGCCCTCTAAAACATCAAAGACCACATCTATATTTTATACCTTGTAATATCTTGCAGACATACTTAGCCTCCCAATGTCCAGAAACATGTTCACTGCCTGCTCTAAACACGATATTGCCTCTGCAGGATACATATATACAGAATTCAATTTGTTTAAGCCAAAGCTAAAGATGACTAAAGAAGAATGGAAAAATAATAACAATGTGATGCTTTTCAGAAAACATTCTCGAAAATGATGTGACATTTGAGTTACATTGCATATGATTTTAGGAACAAAATGGACATGAATATAGTAGAATGGATAAGCCGGATAAATATAATCAACCTCAGCTAATTTGGGTTGAGGTGTAGTTGATAGATTGATTATTGATATATACTACAATGATCTTTCTTTAAGCATGAAATTCACTAAATAATGGGCCACCACTCTACCCATATCTACTTAAATACCAAAACTTGATTCTCCACTTGTGATGTGTGCTTATCACAGATCCTGCACTGTACCATATAAGATAATGGGCTCACCCTCTACCTTTCCCAGAACCAAAGCCCCGGAAGCAATATATTATTCTGACTTAGAATCTGTTAAACAGGTGTGTGTGTACGTAATGTATGTGTGCCTGTGACAATGATAACCAAGCACGGTACCAAGAGGTCTACTTGGGACTCACTCTCTCTCTCTCTCTCTCTCTCATCAGTACTTTGCTTTGCGGGTGTTTAGCAATATCGATGGTTTCAATTTCCAAAATATGTCCACCAAAACCTCCAAAAATGAAAGAAATTTAACTGTAGTTTCAAAATTATGTGTTCCAAGCAACATCCTTGGAATCTCTCAAAGTTTTTTTTTTTTTTTTGACAAGTACTAACTATCAAAAGGCTAATATTTGTCAATGTGGCAACAACCCTCATATAACTCAACATATTTATCTTATGAAATAACAAACAAATGTGAGAGCATTAACATAAACTATCAATTAAATGGGAGTGCACTATCTTACTTTCATTGAATTCAACAAAGTTATTCTTTTAGTATGTTATATCACAAATGATGCTATGCGTAAACTTTTGTGCATAGTATTTTGTAGATACTCTTGATATTATGCATTAAAGCATGAAGTTATGCATAAATACAATAACTTCTTTTTCTTTGTAACAATGTAATCATTATGTATCTTATATACTAATCTAGTAAAGTTACTCCATTCAAATATTTAACATAAACTCAAAATAGTTTCCAAATGTTTCAAAAAANCTCTCCCGCATTTTTATTTATATAAGTATTTCACATTTACGATGAAATTTCTGAAAATTGACCTTTCTGTTTTAATTAATTTGAGACTTAAAGAATTCTAATCATGGCACTTGGCAGTGCAACACTCTCCAATCTTTTTAACATCCTTATTATAAATTACAAATTGAAAGTGTCATTCTAATAGCAAAAACAATAAGCTCACCCATAAAGGAGAGCATCTAGCAGCTTACGGATGCAGAGCAACTACCTTGGAACAGTGTTATTAAAAGCACTCGCTTCTCGCTTTAAGCGATGAAGTGAGGCGAGGCGCAGGGTTAGCGCTTTTCTGCTAAAAAGGCGACTCACATTCAAAAAGCGTGCGCTTTTCTCGCTTAAGCGAGAAGCGAGCCGGTAGGAAAAGCGAGAAAAAGCGTGCTTAAGCGAGCAGAAGGCATCAGCTAGGGTTTTTTAAAAAAAATTGGCAAATAAACCATCTGTGAACAAACAAACATACGCGACTTCTTCTCCAGCGAACTCTAGCGACGACCACTGCTGCTCCAACGACTTCTTCTCCAGATCTCGGTAAGTTTCTTCAACTTCTTCTTCTTCTGTTCTTCTATTCTTCTTCTTCTTCTGGTATTCTTCTTATTATGTTCTTCTTCTTCTGATGGAATTCTTTCAATTTTTCACTTTTTAAGCGCTCATTTTGTGCCCTAAATGACTTCTTCTTCTTCTTCTTCTGTTATTAAAAGTGCTCTGTTTTATGCTGTTGTATGCTCTGTTTTCTGCAATTTATGCTCTGTTTTCTGCAATTTATGCTCTGAATTAATTTTTTTTTTTGTTGTTGATTGTAGTAAATTTAATTTGATTATTCAATGGCATCAAGCCATTTGCTTAATATGTTATTTTTAATGAGTTCCTAGCCATTTATCTATGCTTTTTTTTTTTATTTATTTATGTGTTAAATTGCGCTTCACATGGAAAAAGCGCGCGCTTCGCTTCGCGCTTCTCGCTTCTGTGAAGCGAGGCCTCGTCGCTTTTTTGCGCTTAATGCTTTCCAAAACACTGCCTTGGAACAATGCCCATACTCCACCGGTGGGATTACACTGGGTTTGTTGTTGTTGTTGTACAAGATAACTAATACGTATTTGATAAAAGCGAAACCTATAAGAAGCTCCTAATGAAAAGAGGATTACACGTAGAGCAGGGCGCACTTGCATCAACAGATGTTAACTTCATTTGGAGGGGTTCTTTTCAAGCATGCAACATAAAAGGGCTGGTCTGAATCAAATAAGTGTTCCGTGACTTACAAACCTTTAGTGTTTGACTTCTTGTAGCAATGAGCAGCATCAGCATAAGCATTAGCAGCCTCATGTTTGCTATCCAACTGCGAACATAAAGTGAACGACTTTCAAGAACTGAAACAAGGAAAGAGCGTCAATGAGAGACGACTCACTACAGGAGGATCAAACACTTACCTTAAGATGACAATTAGCCAATTTAACATATACTGCTCCGGCTTGATCCCCTGAAATAACCAGGAAACAAGAAATTAGTATACAATTTCTTACCATGCAACGAGGCTGATTGAATCTATGAAACAGTTTTCCCTGAAGATCCTTCAGAACTTAAGACCTTGCCTTGTTAAGAAATTTATTCACTTTTTCCGACATCGAAGCGATTATGTCCATCTTATACAAGTTTAAAAACTAATTGAAGAAAACTCTTTTTCTCTTTGTCTTCGAAGTATCTCTTTCCATTTCTAGAATTAATTCAACCAAGGAAAAGACACAGCGGAATCATCAAAATCAGCCTATACAGCAAGGTATAAGCAAGAGTTATAAGCAAGTTATAACTCAACCAAGTGCAGCATGTCCAAAGGAAAATAAAATCTGCTCAGTGAAAACTCTCCTTACATGAATAATGATGCAGTTGTTTAAAAGATCAAAATAATACAAATGCCGTTCTTTTCTTATGCTCCAACAGTTGTTTTATAACCGAGAAATCCCGAGGGCAAGTGGATCACGGTTCTAACTCTGTGGATAATAGGTCGGCCCTCACCCTTCTTCACTTATATCCCAGGTATCTGACTGCAGCAAGTTCCAAAATTTGATGTGCCCCTAACCCACACATCACTTGTTGCACTTTAACACTAGACCAAAGCCATGGAGGCGATGCTCCAACAATTAATTAACTAACCAAATCCAGCAAAATTTTACACATAATTTCAGCGCTTTGTAATAGTCGAATTGGACTACAAACAAATTACTCGGACCAAACAATCATCCTCATAAGGAAGCTCATTTAATGAGAAAATGCATAAACAATCATCCTCAAATTTCCGGGCTTTCTCACATATTCATTTGGATTCACCTCCAATTCAAAATTAGAAAAAGAAAATAAAGAAAGCAATCAATATCACCGTTTACACTACGATAGTTTGATAAAAATAAGAAAATTAAAATCTAAAAAACAGAATCGGAGTCGATCACCACAATACTAGATCTTAATAAAATGATAAATCACGTGGAAAAGGAAAAGCAGAACTAACATGATTTGGCGAGTTTGAAGCAATTGCCAGCTTTATCGAAGAGATCAGCGGCGTCTTCGTGTTTGGAGCCAAAAAGGCCCCATCCGCTCAGCTTCTTCTCTGCCTTCTTCTCGAAATCTTCACCTCTTGCGATTTGATCCCCCATTGTTTTTTGGTCAGCACAAAAGGGCGATCGATAGCTGTCGTTTGAAGTAATCTGAAAATGAAGGAAAAGGGGAAGAAAATAATGCGGTGGCCTATGTTGAAAAAGTGAAAGAGTCCGGTTTTAGGAATAGAACGGGCTTTGATTTTTCGGCCTGCCCCTTTTTGTTGGGCTTGGGGACCGGCAGAGAAAAGTATTCACCGTCCAGACCCCAAGATATCATTTAGCGGGCCCCACCAAATTTCAAGAGCAAAATACAAAATTAGCGGTTAGTCGAAATTAATTGCATTCGCTAGCCAAAAAATATATAAAGTATGTTTATTATGCGTATATAATACAAACATATATAATAAATATATATTTTATCGACTATTATTTTTAAGAGCGGATAAAAATATAAATTTCTATTCAATCGGCCCTAAGGCAACTCAATAGCTTTATAGCATATTGTTCCCCCAAGCTTGTGGGAAGAGAAAAGTTCTTAGTTTTCGAAAAAATTGCTCATTTTAGAGAACTTGTATGTTTGGTCAAGCTCTTTAGGACAAAATACTCGTTGGTAGGGAACCACTCGAACATCCATTGAACCTGGTCCTCGGTTAAATTTTGAAAAGCTGTACCCATCCTACAGTGTCCTCCGGTTGAGCAAACATGTCTGGAATATAGGTCATTCTTTTAGGATGATGGAAGGCTATGAGATCATTCTATAGCCTTCGCGGAAATTCCTGACGGGATTGTCCATTTTAGAGATGCTCCAACAACCAAACCTGCAATAGCAAATTGCAACCCTCGAAGAATCTGAACCTCTTCTGACATCGTTCCAAAGCCCGGTACATGTCTGCAATGATCATAGGGACAATGGTGTATGTCTGTCCCTCTATCCCATCCACTAAAGTTATTGACACCATGGCCAACCTGGTGTGGATTCTGTCCCCTTGGATCGGGAACATCAGCATGCCCAAGAAACACACAATAAACCCGAAGACCCTACGATGAATCCAACCTAAAGAGGTAATTGAGAACTCATCATCAAAAATACGGTAAGAACGACTGTGACCGTATCGTTCATAAAGGAAGTCGAAAGGTATGTAGGAGTCTTTCAGGCATTTCAAGTTGTCATTCTTCTTTAGCCCCATCATTTTCAGAAATCCCCTAGCGGTGCGATTTTCGGGTGCTAACAGACCAGGGCTATCCCAAGGCAACCCAGCAAATCCTCCTATTTCTTCTAGAAGGGGAGTCATTTCTATGTCCCCAAAGCGGAACACGGCCCTTTCCTTATCCCAAAATATAGTGGCAGCCTCGATCAACATTTTGTTTGGCTGAAGATCCAACGGAGAAGGCAAGTTTCCTAAGACTCGTTTTACATGATTTTGGTCACATGAAGGAAGATCCCTCCACCAATCTAGCAAAAGTGAGGGTACGCTACCAACCATACCAAATCTGGGGACTTCGTGCCTCATTTTTATGCAAAACAAAAGATAGTTAGACCCTTTCCCCCTTCAGGTTCGTCTATTTATACAATAATAATTAGCATATTGGCACTGATTTCTCCAAATTTAATGCACACAATCGTGGTTACGTCCGATGGGATTACAGAAAACCCGATGGACTTTTGGACGAGGCTTGTATTAAAGGGTTATTATGCGGATAACATATTAACCTGGCTAGGTTTGACCATGATGCATGCACCATTAATCAGAGTAAGGTTGCTATAGAGGTCTAGACTAGGACCCTTAAGCGGACAACTTGAGGGGGAAAGGCACGGAATGGTCGAACGCATCGCTGATCGACTAGTTTTACCGCAAATATGCCTTTCCGAATTTAAAAGGGTGATATATGGGAAGAACGCAAATACTCATCAAGCGTTGCTATAGTATTGATTACGCACGAATGGAATATGATGTTGAGCATGATTTATGCAACAATAAATAGCATGTTGTCAAGTATTTGCACGTTAAAAAAACAATAAATGCAGTATTTAAATAATTAAAAAGACAGTTACGGAAAAAGAAAACAAAGAGACAAGTCAGTTTTAGGAAATAAAAGAAATCTTAAATGCTTGAAAATAGGCAGTTAAATCCAAATAAGGGGGAGGGTGCACGGGATAAGGCATTCTTAAGACTAATTCACAAAAATAAGTTTGTTATGGTAAGAGCCTAAAATATCCCCAGCAGAGTTGCCATGCTGTCAGGACACCTTTTTTTCTTTCGCGGAGTTTGAGTTTCGACATTCATTGGGAACAACTCATTTCCTTTTGGGAATTGGGTATCTGAAGAGTCGTCATCTAACGGATTAATGTGTGTTAGGGCACCTAGAGTAATTAACTCATGTAACCAGTTTCCATTACCAGAGATTAGAGTAAGGGCTCGAAATAACCTTGAGGGGAAGGTGTTAGGCACCCTTTGTGGTCCACATCGGTGGGTCCCGACCGAACTTAGTTTTGTGAATTAGTCATTTAATAAGTAAGCGGTCTCAACACATATTTGCGAAAAAGGTAGTTTACACAGTCTAAACACATATACAATCAAGAAAGTTTAGATGGTCTAAGCATATGTGAATTAAAGAGGTTTGAACAGTCCAAGCATACATACATAAACCAAGGAAGTTTAAGCACACAGATGTGAATTGGGAAAGGGAAGTCCTAAGTTGATTAGTCTATAGGATCAATCTGTGTAATGCCCGGTAATCCTCCTAAACTAGAGGGCTACACGTGACATTAGCGCGCATGTCATCATATCCTTTTACTACCTATTACCCTCCCCTTAGTGGTTATATAAGCGAGTTAAATTAATGAACTCTAAGCGCGCGTTACCCGTCCCTTCCTTATGGTCCCTGGGGCGTTTAAGACCTCTATACTTAGGCAGTTTTGGACACTCCTAAGGTATTTAAAAGGTAAAATCTAAGCGACAATAAAGAACACATAGGACTGTCAAACAGGAAACAATTAGGGGCTCATGTTTGCCTCCACACATAATCAGATACATAGCACGTCTCAAAACAACTGTTTTTAAAGAAATTCAGAAAGCCTTAGAACATGATATCTAGATGAACATCACATGTACAGAATATGCAACAATATTTAAGGTGAAGTGGCCGAACCTTTATTCAGCTTGCCTATTGATTTTATAGCCTGTTAAACTTGGATAATTTCATACATAAACATAAATTGATTTCACATTTATTTAATTACTTAAGGCTTGCCTAGGTGTGGGTCTATATGCAGTCATAATCTGGGAATTAATTAAACAACTTGAAGTTATTTAGTCCTACAGGCATGCGGATCGAAGTGATTAATATTACAAAACTGATTTTAGGCAGGTTTATACTAGGACGTGATATCTATGTGTTGGACTTTTTAAACCTTTTATAGACAATTGCTTATTCAAAACAGCGTAGACATGGTTTAGAGCCAATGCAAACAAAGTCCTAAATCAGGATTTCCAATGCACATAGAGATGATCATTTTTATTAAGCATGATTGCAGCAGCAGTTTAATGACATGATTTCCAGATGATAATAACCTATACAGAGTCAGAGAAAGAAGTGCCGAACATGTTCCTAATATGCAAAGAATATAAACGTGAGTGTCCTAAGGCAGGTTTTCTAATGCAAATATTATAGACTTATGACATATTTTAATGCAAGTAGCATAGTATATGGACCTAAAGCATGATTTCTATCATAGTATAAACTCAAAGCAGGATTTCTGTTGCAAATATATATGAACTAAGAGCATGATTTCTACTATGCATCAACCTAAAGCATGGTATCTACCTAGTTTTCCCACAAACATCATATATGGAACCCTGCCTTTTTACTAATCACCCCAACATCTGTTTACAAATAATATTATTACAGACCAGGGATCAAATGAATTACATAAGTAAATAAAACTATACTATAGGGAGCCTAAATCAGACCCAAAGTAAACTTGGGAATGCCAGACCTTCAATAGAGTCTCAGAAGCCAAAGATTTCACAGCCAATAATATGTGTCTTGGTGTGTCAGAGTTCCCTAAGGACCTCGAGGATCCCGTGCAGTGCTCACACCAAGACCATTTCTCAAATGGGGGTTGATTATGTGCAGTGTAAAAGGCCAGCCCTGGTATGCCAGAGTTCAGAGAGATCTCAAGGATCCCTAAGCAGTACATATACCAGAGGGGCATAACTTAATAATCTAGGAGTAGGGTGAGAGTGTTTGACATAGTGTTGAAAGACTTAGTAAAATAGCTTAGAGGTGAAAGGATTCAGAAACAGGTTTTCTTTTTAAGATACTGGGAGTGACCGGTTTTTGAGAAAAATACTAGGAGTAAGTAATAGTTTTGAAATCATTTTGAGGAAAGCAACTCAAAAGACAACCCAATTGATCATGGAGTACCCATATTTACTCAACAAGTAGACTTACAAACAGGGGTGAAGGGGATTGTGAACATATAGGGTTGAAACCACATAAACAGGGAAATATTTTATACAACAAATGTACAGAACAACTAGGATTTCTACTGAACAAGTTAATCATGGTAATAGACAGTTAAGACATAGAATGAATGTAGCAAGATCCTGTTAAAGACAGAGATGTGTTGAACATAATTGGACATACAATCAGGACCAATCGAATACACTAGAAAACTAAGTGACTATATAGTCATACCAATTAAAGGGAAGGGGGCAAGGGAACTAAGTAAACATGCTGGGCAGGTATCAAAGAACTAACTGAAGTCAGACATGTTGATTACACATAAGGCATAATTTAGACATGCTTAATAACATCAAACAGAGAAACAAGTTGAATAACTTATAAAGGAATAAACATGGATGTATAGACATGGAACACATAGTTGAGTTTCAAAATTTAACTAAAGACATACCAGTTAAAGAAGAGAATGCAGAATGTAAAAGCAGGGCAATTCCACTATCTAGCCTTGGCTTTCAGCCAGCTAGATCAACAGTTAGCACAAGTTGCAAAGAGAGAAGAGAGAGTTTGAATGTATGTGTGTGTATTCTGAACAATGTTCATGTGTTGAAGGAGCATAATGTGAGTGTATATATAGCATCTTAGGGAGTAAAACAAATAAGGTAAAAGAATCTCAGTTCAATCAATTAGGA